TCTCTCTGTCAAATAAATAAATAAAATCTTTAAAAAATAATAATAATAATAAAGGGGATAATCCCAACAAGAAGATATAACAATTGTAAATATTTATACACCCAACATGGGGGCACTCAAATACATAAAACAGTTAAAAAAAAATAAAGGAACAAATCAATAGCAATAAAATAGCGGGGGACTTTAATACTCCACTTACATCGATGGACAAATCATCCAAACAGAAAATCAACAAGAAAACAGTGGCTTTCAGTGGCACACAGGACCAGATGGATTTCACAGATACATTCAGAACATTCCTTCCTAAAACAGCAGAATACACATTCTTTTCAAGTGCCCATGGAACATTCTCCAGAACAGATCACATATTGGGCCACAAAACAAGTCTCAACAAATTCAAAAAGATCAAAGTCATACCATGTACCTTTTCTGATCACAATGCTATGAAGCTAGAAATCAACTACAAGAAAAAAATCTGGAAAGACCACAAATACATGGAGGTTAAATAACATGTTAGTAAACAATGAATGGGTCAACCAAGAAATCATAGAAGAAATAAAAAATCACATGGAAACAAATGAGAATTAAACTGCAATGGTCCAAAATCTTCAGGATGCAGCCAAAGTGGTTCTAAGAGAGAAATTTAAAGCAATCTAGGCCTACCTCAAGAAGCAAGAAAAAGTCTCAAACAAAACACCTAACCTTACATGTAAAAGAGATAGAAAAAGAAGAGTAAACCAAACCCAAAACCAGCAGGAGGAAGGAAATAATAAAGATTAGAGCAGAAATAATGATACAGAAATTATAAAAAAAAACAAAACAGATTGATGAAACCAGGAGCTAGTTCTTTGAAAAAAATCAATAAAATTGATAAACCTCTAGCCAGACTTATCAAAGAGAGAGAGAGAGAAAGCAAACAAAATCACAAATGAGAGAGGAGAAATAACAACCAATACCACAGAAATACAAAAAATTATAAGAGAATATTATGAAAAATTACATGGCAACAAGTTGGATAAGCTAGAAGAAATGGATAAATTCCTAGAATGGATTAAAAAACTGAAACAGGGGGCACCTGGGTGGCTCAGTCAGTTAAGCATCTGACTTCAGCTCAGATCATGGTCTTGGGGTCCTGGGACAGAGCCCCACATTGGGCTCCCTGCTCAGTGGGGAGCCTGCTTCTCCCTCTGCCACTCCCCCCCTCCTGGTGCTCTCCTGCTGTCAAATAAATAAATAAAATCTTAAAAAAAAAAAAAAACTAAAACAGAAAGAAATAGAAAATTTCTCTTTCTGCTGCTCCCAACAAACAAAAGTCCAGGGCCAGATGGCTTCACAGACAAATTCTACCAAACATTTAAAGAGGAGTTAATACCTATTCTTCTCAAACGATTCCAAAAAATAGAAAAGGAAGGAAAACTTCCAAATTCATTCTATGAGGCAGGCATTACCTTGTTACGAAAACCAAAGAAACCACAAAAAAAGAGAACTACAGGCCAATTATCTCTGATGAACATGGATGCAAAAATCCTCAACAAAATACTAGCAAACTGAATCCAACAACACCTTAAAAAAAATCATTCACCGCAATCAAGTGGGATTTATTCCCGGGATGCAAGGGTGGTTCAATATTCACAAATCAATCAATGTGATATATCACATCAATAAGAGAAAGAATAAAAATCATATGATCATTCCAATAGATGTAGAAAAAGCATTTTACAAAGTATAACATCCATTCATGATAAAAACCCTCAACAAAGTAGATTTAGAGGCAACACATCTCAACATAATAAAGGGCTTAAAGGAAAAACCCACAGTGAACATCATATGCAATGGGGAAAACCTGAGAGTTTTTCCCCTAAGGTCAGGAACAAGACAAGCATGTCTACCCTCACCACTTTAATTCAACGTAGTACTACAAGTCCTAGCCTCAGCAATCAGACAACAACAATAAAAAAGGCATCCAAATGGGTAAAGAAGAAGTGAAACTTTCATTATTTGCAGATGACATGATACTATATGTAGAAAACCCTAAAGACTCCACCAAAAAATTACTAGAACCGATTCATAAGTTCAGCAAATTTGCAGGATACAAAATCAATGTACAGAAATCCGTTGAATTTATATATACTGAAAGTGAAGCAGCAGAAAGAAATTAAGAAAACAATCCCACTTACAAGTGCACCAAAAATAATAGAGTACTTAGGAATAAACTTAACCAAGAGGTGAAAGACCTACACTCTAAAAACTATAAAACACTGATGAAAGAAACTGAAGAAGACACAAAGAAATGGAAAGACATTCCATGCTCATGGATTGGAAAAACAAATATTGTTAAAATGGCTATATTATCCGAAGAAATCTAACAGTTAATGCAATCCCTATCAAAATACCAATGACATTTTTCACAGAACTGGAAGAAACAATCCTAAACCTTGCATGGAACCACAAAAGACCCCAAATAGTCAAAGCGATATTGAAAAATAACAACAAAGATGGAGGCATCACAATTCCAGACTTCACATTATATTACAAAGCTGTAGTCATCAAGACAGTATGGTACTGGCATAAAACCAGACACACAGATCAATGGAACAGAAAAGAGAACCCAGAAATAACCCCAAAATTATATAGTCAATTCTTCTATGGTGCTCATCTTCTAAAGATGCTTAACATCACTCAGCCACTATGGAAAACAGAATGGAGATTCCTCAAAAAGAAATACAACTACCCTAAGAATCCTGTAATTGCACCACTGGGTATTTACCTCCAAAATACAAAAACACTAGTTCAAAGGAATATATGCAACCCTATGTTTATTGAGTATTATCTACAATGGTCAAGTTATGGAATCAGCTTAAGTGCCCCCTGATAGATGCACTGATAAAGAACATGTGGTATACAAATACAATGGAATATTATTCATCTGTAAAAAAAAGAATAAAATCTTGCCATTTGCAAAGATATGGATGGAGCTGAAGAGTATAATGCTAAGTGAAGTAAGGCAGTCAGAAAAACACAAATACCACATGATTTCACTCGTATGTGGAATTTAAGAAACAAAACAAATGAGCAAAGGAAAAAGAGAGAGAGGGAGCGGCAAACAAAGAAAGAGACTCTTAAATACAGAGAACAAACTGATGGTTCCCAGAGGAAAGGTGTGGGGGATGGGTGAAATAGGTGATGGGGATTAAGGAGGGCACTTGTTGTGATGAGCTCTGGGTGATGTACGGAAGTGTTGAGTCACTCTATTGTACACCTGAAACTAATATAACACTGCATATCAAACTCTACTGGAATTAAAATAAAAGCTTAATAAAAAAAGTTTAAAAAAACCCTCAGTAAATGTACACTTAAGGTTTGTGCATTTTATTGAACATAAATTTTATATGAAAAGAAAAAAACCTGTAAATAAATGTTAAGCATGCGGAAATATTTAGAGGGAAGTTAACTGATGTCCCTGACTTTCTTTGAAATGCACCAAAATTAAGATGCATTAATGGACGGACAGAGAGATGTATGAATGGAGAGTTGCGTGATAAAGCAAATATAGTAAAATGTTACTGATGCACCTAAATAGCACCTATATGAATGCTCACTCTTCAATCCCTTCCAATTTTCTGAATGTTTTAACATTATCCTAAAATGGTGGGGGGAAATAAATGGGTAAGCCTGCATTGCTAATTTGATAAGAATTTGAAAATTATAATAACTATTCCATCCCCAAGTTTAATTGTAAAACTCTATAGAGTTCTGTTAGCCTGCAATAGCATGTAAATATTCTGGCCTGCAATATAAAATTCTGGCCTGCAGTGTTAAGAATTTTAAGTAGGCACATTAAAATTATTCAACTCTAATCAATAATCAGAGTTGAGCCTCAAGTGGAACAATGCATACCCTGCTCTATGATTCTGAGCCTCTTGACTTTTGCTCGGTACATTCTGCCGGCATTTGCCATCAGCTCTTTCTGCAAACTGAAGCAAGAAACAAAAAATGTTCAGTGCTTTTTGCCCAGGATTTTTGGTTTATTTATTGGGGTTTTATTTGTTGTTTTCTCTTTACTTTTTTAAAATTGCTCATTGTTTAAAAAAAACATGGATCGAAGAATGAAGCGTGCTCTATTTTAAACTGCTTGGTGTGTAGCCTGCTGGGATTTCTGCAAAGGATATACAATCCTTGAAATATTTATACACATACACATGTACACATAACCTTTCAATATTTTCATAAATAGGATCGTATTAAACAGCCTTCTGAATTTTGCTTTTTCTAGAAAACAGCACAATGTATATATGGTAGCAGTTAAGTGTTCACCAATATCTGGTTTCTCTCTTTCTTCAGAACATGTGGGTAGGGCCATGTGGCGAGTACAGGTCACTGCACTGAGAGTGTAAATGATACGTATTTCTGCCCAGCTGAGAATTTGTTGGGCTGGACCCTCCAAAGTTCTCTCTCTGGCACAGTGATCAGCAACATTCAAGGTAGTGGCTGTTTTGTTAGCCTCAGTCCCTGAGTGACTACTATGAACACAGTTCCCCCAACAACTACAATGGATATATAGAATGAGCAAGAAATAAACCTTTGTTGATTTAATCCCCTGAGATTTGGGGGGATTGGTTGTTACTGCAGCATTACTTAGACATCCTTCACGGATTCCTCACTGATACATGTATTTCTTTGGGTACACATATTTGGTCTACCTCATTCTTTCTGATGGCCGAACAGTACTGTCTTAAATTAATGTGGTAGAATATATCTGACTATCATCCTATTGTTGGGCGTCTGATTTTTCCAATGATTTTGCTATTACGAAGCTCGTTATAATAAATATTGCATGCATGAGCACACGTGCACACACACACACACACACACACACACACAGAGCTCTATTACGATCCACTTGTGAAATTTTTTCTGGATAAAAAACTTCTGAGTGCAATTACCAGGTAGAAGCTTCTAAACATTAGCTAGAAATTGCCAACTATCCTCCAAAATGCTGAGTCAATTTAAACTCCTCTATCAAGAGAAAATGGGAGTATCTGTTATCCTACATGCTCACCTGGAGTCAGTTATATTATTCTTTAAAAACAACATATAATAGCCAGTATAATAGGTGACAATTATATTTCATTGTTGCTTCAGCTTGCACCGTAATTGGTCATCTTTTCGTGGGTTTAAAGGCTATTTGTATTCCTTCTGTGAATTGTCTATTCCTGTCCTTAACCCATTTCTTCTGCTGATTTTATGGGAGATTTCTGTAAATCCTTAATGTTAATTCCTTTGTTCTTACACTAGTTGCAAATATTTTCCCTCAGTCTGTCCCTCACCTTTTAAGTTTGCTTACTGCATCTTTTGCTATAGAGAAACATAATTTTCCTGTAGTCAATACAGCCAACTTCTCCTTTATGGTTTTTGAAAAGTGTGCCCTACAACAAAATAAAAATGTATTAAATGTTTCCCAATCAATTGTCACTAAAACCTTTATTAATAATCCAGTCTATCTCCACTGATTTGAAAAGTTCTCCATATCTTACAATAGGACCCATAAGAATGGGTCTTTATGTATTTTACTGATATTTGGGTTTATTCCTCTACTATAGTACATTATGTTTTCAAATATCTACAAATTATATAAAGTCTAGTAACTAGACACTAATATTCTTTTTCCACATTTTTCTCAATCCTTTAATTTTCCTGAGGGATTTCATAATCAATGAGCCAATTTCTCTCCCCTAACCCTGCAAAACAATACCAGATCTAACAACAAAAACCCACATTGTAATTCTGATTCAAACTACTTTAAATCTACAGATTAATTTGCACACATTAGAATTTTTATAACAATGTCTTCCCACTCAGAGATACGATAAAGCTTTGAAATTGTATTCACTTTAGTCTTACACATTCTTGTTCAGTATTTATTCCCAAGTACTTCCTAATTTTTGTTGCTATAGCAAATAGTATTCCCCCTTGCACAGTATTTCCTAACTGGTTATTACTGGTACAAAGTCAAACTACTGCTTTTTGTGTAATCTTCTTGTGTTTAGTTACTTTCCTGAATACTCTTAATAGTTCTACCCATTTTTAAACTTAGTCTTTTGGGTTTTTAGGTACACAATCATATCCGGGTTCTAATTTAAAAATCAGTCTTCAGTGCTCTGGGGTGCCTGGGTGGCTCAGTTGGTTAAGTGTCCGACTCTTCATTTTGGCTCAGGTCATGATTCACGGTCATGAGATTGAGCCCCACATTGGGCTCTGTGCTGAGTGTGGAGCCTACTTAAGATTCTCTCTTTCCCTCTCCCCCTGCTCCCCTGCCACCCACTCATGTGCTTTCTCTCTAGAAAAAAAAAAAATCAGTCTTCAGTTCTACTTTGGGTTATTAATACAGTGATTCCTAAATGCCTATTTCCACTATACCTTGGGTAACAAAATAATGGGATTTTATGGTTGGAAGGAACATCATAGTGATCTAATTCAAGGGCTTATATAGTCAAGCACCTACTGGGGTACACCGATAAGACAGATGGGAGAAGGTGTAAGACAATAAGGAACTGTCGAGACTGGGAAGAAACAGAGAGAACAGGCTGTATCTAAAGAGGACAGCCGTCACCCTCCCCCAACTGACTGGTGCCATGAGGCTCGGTTTCTACTTTTGAAGAGGCACTAGGTATATAGATTTTTGTTTAAACTCCTAACTTTAAAAAAAATTAAACAAAAGCCAAACTAAATACAACTGCTAGCTTCCAATCTAGAAACTTCACTGAAGCTAATGCAATACCTTCATTTAAGGCAGTTTAAACTCAGACAGGTGTGTCAGGGATCGCGAGAGTAGCAGATGACAGGCAAGGGCTTTGTATTTTGTTTAGCCATTTGGTGGGTCAGAATAGTATTTACAAAGTGCCATGACTAAGCAAGTGTTTTGCTTGGTTTGGTTACAGGCAAGGAGTTTAGTCCCTAATGTCCATATTCTATGTTCTCTGTTTGGCTCATCTTGGCTTGGATTTACGATCATGGCAAATGCAAAGGGCAACTTTTAAATCCTCTCCTTCTATTTGCGGGGAGAGTCCCACATTATACTCCCCGTCACTCAACATGGAAGTCAGAGCTCAACCTGCAGGACCCAGGCTTCCTTGGCATTAGAAACATGCCAGTGCAATGTTTATAGCAGCAATGTCCACAATAGCCAAACTGTGGAAAGAGCCAAGATGTCCGTCAACAGATGAATGGATAAAGAAGAGGTGGTATATATATACAATGGAATATTATGCAGCCATCAAAAGGAATGAGATCTTGCCATTTGCAACGAC